GGTCCTCAGGCTTCGAGCACATCCATGGTAGCCGGACGACCGAAGCGAACAATTAAACGAACGGAGAGGGCGAGGGCGACACCGGAGCCAGACAATGATGACGAGCCCGAAGATATTAACATATCAGAAGACTCAGACGAGGGTTATAACGACGAGGAGAGCGATGGTTCTGACTAGCTTCAACAAGTTGAATATTATTGTTGTTATTAAACCAATGTGGGACTCAGCTGTCCGAAATATGTGCTGGACAGATGAGAGGGTAGCTACAGGCCAGCTGTCTGACCACCTCAAAGGTGCAGCTGGCAGCCAGAGCCATACCACATGTGACCAGGTCCACTTCCAGATGGCGGCAACGTGATGTGGCCAGCTCCACACAAGGTGTCGGCACTTTGGCGGTGTATGATTCAACAATTTACTTGACTTGTACCTTTCAACTCATGGCAGAAAGTACGGTACCGCTACATGTATAAATTAGCTAGCTACTGTATTAATTAGTCTGCGCCATCCTCGCCACTTCGTTTCTTCTCTTAGCAATGCAGAAGAAGCTCATGACATTGATGATAAGCCGCAAAATTTCGTGAGTCACGCTGTAATTTACCCAACTTCCTTCTTGTGGGCACCCTGAAAAATTATAGCGCTGGACGTGCTGTGACCATGATCGCATGAGGGTGACTGAGCGCGCGCGTTAACTCGTTCAATATGGTTGTAAATAGTAAGCAACCCAGGGTAACTTCACGGTGAAGACCAGATTACGTTCTCAATGTGAGTGTGCAAAATATAATCCTTGTTCCAACCGCTGGGTATGATCAAGTATGGGAAAATTGCTGTTCAATCAAAGGTTCAACTTGTGTATGTTGAACTTGAAGAAAGGGAGACTAGGAATCGGAATGGTAATTGACTTGAAAGTTGACTGTCATTCCGGAGAGGAAAATTGAAACCTACGGGTTTAATCCTTACATCAGTGGAGTCAGTTTCCCAACTGCGTCAAGCAATCAAAATCGAGATGTATCTGAATATAACTTCACACTTAAGGTGCACTTGGACCTCAAAAGTCAAGAATCTGTATCAATATAACAGTCGGGGATGAAATAGATGTATGTTGTGTGCATAGACCTATGATTCAGATAATCCCAAAATAATTATTTTGCTCTCAACAATCCTTGAACGAAGTCCTAGGCTGAGAAAATGTGGATGCGACCGAAGTTGTGGATTGATCCAAGTTTGAAAGAGGGGAAAAAGATCTCCGCACCTCAGCCAGAGTATTTAACTTGCTTGAGTCGACTGAATCGCGAAGTTTGAGTTGCTAATTGAAAGGTTTGGGCCCAAGCGCGATTATAAACCTTGTGATAGTCCGTGTTTATTTTCCTGAAGGGAGAAAAGCTTAAGGGACCGGAGTAGTCGCCAGCTCAGTCAAATCTATGTATCATCAGAGCGCAGAAGGATAGCTACTGATTTAAACTGTGCGAGTAAGACAACCATTGGGCACTAGAGTGTAGGTGCGGAGGAAACCAAAGGTGCAGGATAGCTACTGTTGGTAAAATAAAGACGATTGAAATAGGTGAGAATCGGAAGTTCCTGGCAATGTAATTTTGCGCGACAACTCCTCAGGATGATTCCTATTTCCCATAGAAATAAGAGTTGAGTTGCGATTCGGGCATCTCAGCGATCATTCTTTTGCCTGAGTTGGGAACCGCCTGCCCAAGTCGGAATTTTGATTCATTTCAAAGATATGTACTTTAAATATCAAGGCTCTAAACGATGTGAAACTGCTGTAGTTATTCCGATGGCACCCGGAAATAGCGCGTTGAGAATTCAAAGTGTTCTGCCACTTGAAAGCTGCCCCATGGTCCACTGCACCTATATCAACGCTGACCTTTGTTCGAAGCCGGCAGCACGATAAAGAAAGAACAAACCTCCAGCTCGGTAGAATTTCCTCCCTGAAGCAGCGGTTCCATGTGAACGACGCGCCCGGTGTCAAAGATCCCGGATCTGGGAGAGGGAATGGGTCGGAAGCAAAACAATAAAATGTGTTTGGTGCGCACTGGATAAGAGATTGAACTAGCCCGTTTACAACTCCGTTCTGTACATTGTTCAATACATTCATCCGAGCCAAAATATGAATGCATGCTGATGATCCCAGCTCCCCGGCTCCCGCTCAATTTTGATTGTGTAGACGGAGCTTGCCATCCAAGTATTTCCTGTTGACGGCACTGTTCTTTTGATCAGTCAAGAACACTACTCTCGACTACATATCCTGCTCGTCTGAACACGAACCCTCCGACGTCAGAGCCAAATTTCGTGTTTGTATTTACACTGGAATGGGTGATCGGGCTGGAGCAGAATGTGTTAGCGCGTTGTAATCAGTCATGGTGGGATAGACCTGCTGTGATAGTATCCGCGCTACGTTCAAGTTGTCTGAGCGCCATGAATAGTCTATAGACGCGTTGCTGCAAGCTCAAGAACGCGATTGACGGAGCCGGCGATGGTGAGATGGTGGTAAAGGAAGAACAAAATTCCCGTGCCTCTGTTCCATCAACCCAGCACATGATCAAACAAGGCAAGTGACGAGCATTCACCAAAAAGCGGGGGAGGTGACGAGCTTTCCCAGAATTTCCTCCATCTGACGAACTTTCCCAATTTCCGATCAAACTCACGAACTTTCGCACTCTTAAGCGAAGTAACGAAGTGACGAAGATGGGTACGACTCACACATTTGCGCTGCTGTGGCTGGGGAATCTTGAACCCTTAGTCTCGAGTTGAGATGGACCTGGAAGTTAGTAGTGTAGAGGGGGCGAAGCGCACCATCCAGACCCTCGAGCAAGAAAAAGGTCTTCTGCGTCAAGAACTGGTTGCGCATCAAGACACCTCCAAGTCGAAGGTGAAGAAGGAGAAGGAGGAGCCGGAAGTGGTACATAGATGAATCTTTCAGCAGCGCTATCATCTTCATCTTACTTGGTCACTTTACAGAAGCTGCAGGATACTGCCGCTCAGAGCGGTCCAGACCCATCCCTTACAGCTCTTTGCGGTACAACAGGCGCGGACCGTTTTTTTTTTCCATTTTGGGCATTTTTTGATCGTTTTTTGATCGAACACTCCCTCTACTCTCAGTTCTGGTCTGTTTGCCCTGAAAGTAGGATCATTCGAACGGCATTGAAAGTGCGCAGACAATGGTGTCCTTCGATCTTTTGTCCGGACCATGGGATTCCTTCCTGGCCCAGAAAGATGGTTTTCGCTGTGTTCAGGCATCGGACACTTGTAGAAGTTTTTGTAGTAGCCAGGAAGTTCCTAATTGTTGATACATTTGGCCCTGGTCTATTATCCCGCGAATGGTCTACTCAGATAGTGAATTGAGCACCTAATACACTTTCAATGCCCAGTGCCATCTGCCCACCATGTTTTATTTCAATCAATGACAAGAACAGCTGTTGTGGTGTATCCTTTCACCATGGAACCTTTCCCTTGGACCAGGGCACACTCTCACATCATTATATTGGGTCCTGACTTTTAAATACATGAGAAGCGACTGTACGACACACCGAGCACATCAATCACAATTCACATGCCATGACCAAAGTCAACCTAATTGCGGTCACTTCTCGTGTATTCAAAGGTCAGGACCCAATATAATGATGTGAGAGTGTGCCCTGGTCCAAGGGAAAGGTTCCATGGCGAAAGGATATGCCACAACAACTGTTCTTGTCATTGATTGAAATAAAACATGGTGGGCAGATGGCACTGGGCATTGAAAGTGTATTAGGTGCTCAATTCACTATCTGAGTAGACCATTCGCGGGATAATAGGCCAGGGCCAAATGTATCAACAATTAGGGACTTCCTGGCTACTACAAAAACTTCTACAAGTGTCCGATGCCTGAACACAGCGAAAACCGTCTTTCTGGGCCAGGAAGGAATCCCATGGTCCGGACAAAAGATCGAAGGACACCATTGTCTGCGCATTTTCAATGCCGTTCGAATGATCCTACTTTCAGGGCAAACGGACCAGAACTGAGAGCAGAGGGAGTGTTCGATCAAAAAACGATCAAAAAATGCCCAAAATGGAAAAAAACGGTCCGCGCCTGTTGTACCGCAAAGAGCTGTAATGTCGAACAGGTACGTGCCATATCTGCCTCATACCTTGCGCGATAATTTATTTTGTAGGAATGCCAACGTCTGGAAGGGAGTGTAAAAAGACCTCGAGCAGGAGAACGGCGAGTTGAGAGCAGTACGTTCCGTCCATTCCACACTTACTTTGTGCTGAGTGTAGCACCTCGCCAGAGATCGGAGAGCCACCAGGAGGCGACTGAGCTTGTGGTGGTACATATAGGCTTTCTGCTCAACTTTTGTGTATTGAGCTGTACCAGACACGTGAGGCGCTCGAGCTGGCCAAGGAAGACCCACAATAATTTAAGGTTTCTCGATCCAGTTATGTGGGAGGCCCCAGTTCAACTCTGGGACAGGTCATTCGGCCTTTGTATTGAGCGCTTTTGTCTCAGTGCATTTTTTTTTCGTTCCGCGTCTTGTCGTTGGTCGTTCATCTGGGCTCGTTTAGTTGGGAGGAGGGTACGACGCCGAGAGAGATGCTGGAAGGATGCATACAGGAGAGTGCGATGTATTTTGTTTATTGATGGGGAGCAACTATTTGTTTGATATTAGGAGGCGGGCAGTAGGATAAATTGCACGCACGCGGGGGGAGTGCGGATCAAACAGCGGGAGTTAAGTATGTGAGTGTGGAGGTGTATCCACTGACAACGATGGAGAGGGCCGGCAGTGCAGTCTTTGACCGTTGACGCACGCTTTAAATGAACGGACCGGTTGTCTGGAGGAGCATTCTTGGTCGTCTGGTGTGGAATCTCCTGTTGGAGAGGAAGAGGAGCTCCAGATGGGAGGAGAAAGAAATTGATATTATTAGGGATGGAATTCGAGATTTTCTGCGCGCCGATTTTTGTTCCCTTCAGTTCATTTTTTTCAACCTATATTCAAATTTAATTGTTATAGCAGAAAGACCTGTTGGCGCACTCGGCAGCGCGCCCACAATAGCTAAACATCTCTGCACAGAAAAGTTATGTGGGAGGCCCCAGTTCGACTCTGGGATGGGTCATCCGGGGCTTTACTGTGCTCTTTTTTCTGCCCATTTTTCTAAAATTTGGACTCTGTATTCTTGTTTAATTAGCGAGAGAGAATGACCTATTCGCGCATTCGGCAGCGGCCTCTATTTGGACGAGAAGGTCATCATGTGGGACTCTGGGATGGGTCATGATCGATCATTCATTTGTGAGCCTCTCTTTTTATTTTATTCGGGGTCCTTTCATTTCATTTTGTTGAAAGCCTAGCCTACATTGGTAAAGACCTGTCTGGGCAGATGGTAGCTCGCCCACTAGAAATTCGATCTCAGCCCACACCTCTAACTTTTTTTATATTATTTCGGGACTAATAAATCATCTCATTTTACTCAAGTGCACTCAATGTCATAATTCAACTTACACAGCAGAATGATTATGTGGGTTCGACTCTGGGACAGGTCATCAGGAGAAAGTTGTTTTTTTTTCCCCCCCCCCGCCAGTCACCACATATTACATTGGAAACGAACTAAAACGAGAACACATCAGAAGACCTATTAGCGTAGTCGGAAGCGTGCCCGTGCCATCTATCCACGGTGGAAGTGACTTACGGGGAGCTTGGTTCGAATCCGGGACAAGTCATATCGCTTTCATCTGTGTATTTTGGGTGTCGTTTCGATTTTTTTTTCTTGTGTCGATTCCTTTCTTCCATGAGCTGCGACGACACACACGATTTACCAGCGCTGGATTTTGTTGTTAACTCGCCATGCACTGACGGCAGTTATGTACATACACTATTACTATTAGGTACCTCGTCCCCGCTATTAATTAAAACCCGTATTAGAGTACCCACACTGATATCCCGAACGAAACCGCGGCCGCAGACGCATTAAGTGTACCCGTAGTCGTCGCATACTCCCGCCCTCCCATTACTCCCCTTCAGCGTGAAAGCTCACGGCCGTTCGTGCGGCCATTCATAAGGAGGTCGTGATCGCCAAGGCGGCGAGCGTACCCGATAGGAGTGCATAGAATATAATGAGGAATGCCCTCACTTCATCTTAAGCCCCCTTAGCCGGTTGACGACCTCGTTCATGCCCAGGCCCTGTGCCGCGCCACCCCACTCGCCGCTCCACCCCTGGCGCGACTCGCGCCGGTACGTCGTGCTCGTCCCGGGGCCCACGCCGCCGCGCCCCCCGCCATTATTCCAATTGCCGCTCGGCGCCTCGGCAAACTCGAACGTGCGGGAGAGAAATCGTTCGGAGCGCGTGCTGCGCGTGGTGGTAGAAGGGTGCGGGGCGGTGGAGGTGGGCGAGTGCGGTAAGGAGGGCACGCGGACCCACTCGTCCTCGCGCTCGTCGTAGGTGACGCGCGTGGGGAAGGGGTAGTCGTCGTGCGGGAACGCGGGGGAGGGCGCGCGCGAGCCTACGCGCTCGGCACTGCTGGAGAATGCGGTGGCGTAGTAGGCGGGCGATGGCGCGCGGCTGCTGGACGGGGCGGGGGACGGTGTGCGCGAGGCGTAGAAGGCGGGCGAGCGCGGGGGGGAGAGCGACGCGGAGGAGCCGCGTGAGGAGCGCGGGGTGTGTGGTTGTGGGCCGAGGCCGGCGAGGATGGCGGAGACGGCGACGGCGTCTGCGCTCGCGCGGCGTGGGCGGCGGTAGGGCGAGCGGGATTGGGGCTGCGCCTGGAAGACGAGCTCGGGGGGGACGTTCTGCCCCAGGGTGCGGGTGAGCTTGGCCATCTTGCGGCGGCGGTCGGCGGAGGGGTCGGACGGTGGGGTGTTGGGGCCGAAGGCGGGTGAGAGGGGCGATGGGAGGGCGCTGATGGGGCGGGAGCCGGGCGTGGAGGGGAGGCGCAGGAGGAGGAGCGGACGTGCGGCGGGCTCATGGGACGCGGGGGGCGCCTCGACGGCGGTGAGCGAGGAGGAGCGCGGGGGGGCCGCGGGGCCGGTGGTGGCAAATATGCGGCCGGAGCGCTTGGACTCGATGCTGCTGGTGGAGGATGTGTGGGCGTGGCCGCGCGGGCGGGGGACAGACAGCGACGAGGAGGATTCGACGAGGCTGGTGGAGGACGTGTGGGCATGGCCGCGCGGGCGGGGGACAGGCAGCAACGAGGCGGGTTCAACGAGGCGGGGGGTTTCGCCTAGGAGCGCCTCGAGCTTGCGGGTCGAGCGCATGAGGCGGGTGCGCTGCGTCTGCCGCAGGGCGTGCGTCGTCGGGGGCATATCCATCGTATCCATTTCCAGTACAGGGTATTTTTAAAAAAGAAAAGAAACTCGTCAAGAGTGGCGGAAAGAAAGTGCTGGTGTACTGAAAGGAAAGAAGGAGGATGGATGGATGGACCCACTCGTCGAGAGTAAAAGGGAGACGGCGTGGAGCGGCGTGGTCGCCACGATAACAAAATGCCGGCAAATGGTGACATCGGCAAATGACCCAATCCCCATATGGAACAACACCCGAGTTTGTTTGGATCATCTCGCGAAGAAAAACGGTGCTGCAATCTGTGATCCTGTCATTCGCCTCTTCTTCTCTTGTTTTTTATCATACAACTGAGGAAGAAGGTTGGAAGAAGGGCCCTTGCGCGATACACATTCGTCTGGGCATTCCTCTCCCCGCACTACAGCCCCGACAGCCGCCACAAAACACCTTGCGGGAACGTCTGCCTCTTGTCTGCCTCTCAAGCGCAAATCTAGTCTTTCGTGATCCCATCTCATGATGTCAGTTTCATCCGCCGATTCGGCCCGATCGCGATGTCGCGCTATTCCTCATACCACCCCACTGTTTCCTCCAGAACTCGAAAACCATGCAAGGATCCTCCTCAAGCTCGCGCTGAAAACGGTGTGCGTATCTGAGATCAAGTTCCCCCGTCCTCCAATCTCCTCCTCTTCCTGACCAAGAGATTCCACACCAGACGACCGGATATGCTCTCCAGACGACCGGGCATGCTCCCTCGTTTAAAGCGTGCGTCAACGGTCAAAGACCGCCATACGCTGCCGGCACCCGTCTATCTTGATTCTTTGTCAGTGGATACACCACCTGTTGAGTCGTCTTGTCAGTGGATACTTACTCCTACATACATGCATACATACTTATTCCCGCTGCTTGATCCGCGCTGCGTGCAATTTATCCCCAAGCATCCATGTCCCCCGCCCTTCGTAATAAATAAAAAATAATTACTCCCCGCCCATAAACAAATTGCATAGCACTCTCCCAGCACTCTCGTGTATCCATCCATCATCCGTCTAACCTTCTCTTGACCGCCGCGCCGACGACGCGGAACAAATAAAAATATACAAGAACAAAAAAAATGGTCGCTAATTCTCGAAGATCTATGACCCTAGAAGTTAAGGTAACACGCAATTATTGTGGGTGCCCTGCCGAGTACGCCAATAGGTCCTTCTGTTGTTTGAATTGAACTGAATACACACCGTAGTTGTCCTGGTAGCAGATGAACGACCCAGAACAAAAAATACGCGAGATATAATGAATGGCCCATCCCAGAGTCGAACTAGGCCCCCCCACATAATTCTTCTGGACAAGCCTTAAAGTTATGGTGGGTACACTTCCATCTGCACCAACAGGTCTTTCCTCATATTAATTGAACCATAATAAGCAGTGGAAAGTTTTGAATTTAAAATGAAACATCCCGGGACAAAAACGCTAGATCATGGAGTTGAACTGGGTCCTCCCACATAACTCTCTTCGTCAATATCGAATTATTGTGCGTGGGTGCCCTGCCATCTGCACCAACGGGTCCTCCTGGGAACCCAATTGAACCACGATACATGGCTCTGAATTTAAAATAAAACGACCCGAAATAAAAAAAATGGGATTGCCCACGATCACGACCTGTCCCAGAGTCGAACTGGGGCCTCCCACGTAAATTCGCTAGATGTGAAGACATCAATTATTGTGGGTGCGCTACCGAGTGCGCCAACGGGTCTTCATGGTATCCTAATTGTACCGTATTAAATAGTGGAAGTGGAGGCTTTGAAATTAAAATGAAATGAACGAGCCGAACAAAATCGACACGCACAAGGTGTAGAATGACCCATCCCAGAGTCAAACTGGGGCCTCCCACATAGTTCTTCGAGCCAAGCTCTCAGATTATGGCGGGTGCGCTGCCATCTGCACCAATAGGTCTTCCCTCCTATTAAATTGAACCAGAATATACGCAGCCGTGAAGTTCAAAATGAGCCACCCCGGGCAAAAAAAGTGCTCAAACAGTGGCCAATGACCCATCCCAGAGTCGAACTGGGGTCTCCCACATAACGATCGCCTTGCATACCAAATTATTGTGGGTGTGCTGCCATCTGCACCAACAGGTCTTTCCTCATATTAATTAACCTGAATATGTACGCTGGTGGGCCTGCCGGCAGAAGGCCTTGAGAAAAAAGACTTGAACAAGCTGGACAAAAATAGATCAGTGAATAACCGGATGACCTGTCCCAGAGTCAAACTGGGGCCTCCCACATAACTCTCTTCGTAAATATCGAATTATTATGCGTGGGTGCGCTGATATCTGCACCAACGGGTCCTCCTAGCAACCTAATTGAACCACGATATATGGCTCTGAATTTAAAATGAACCAGCCCGGGAAAGCCGTGGATCAATGCCCCATCCCAGAGTTGAACTGGGGCCTCCCACATAACTATCGTTGCGGGAACCAAATTATTGTGGGTGCGCAGCCATCTGCACCAACAGGTATATTCATTGAACCAGAATATATACGGCGGTGGGAAGGCTCAGAGAAAAATGAAATAAACGACCTGGAGAAAAAATGTCTTAACGAGTTCCAAGGGATGACCCATCCCAGAGTCGAACTGGGGCCTCCCACATACTCCCTTCAGGACAACGTGAAGTTATAATTTATTGTGGATGCGCTGCCGAATGCGCCAACAGGTCTTCCTGGTATCCTAATTGTACCGTATTAAATAGTGGAAGTGGAGGCTTTGAAATTAAAATTAAATGAACCAGCCCGGGCAAAAAAGTGCTCAAAGTAGGTGAATGACCCATCCCAGAATCGAACTGGGATCTCCCACATACTCTATTCGGGAAAGCGTGAAGTTATTGTGGGTGCTCAGTCCGGATACTACATCATTCTCTGACTGTACGTTGTGCATTGTTTTCTCATCCGACTTTCAATCATTTCGAATCTACCAGGAATTAATATCCGTGCAGAACTAGTGAATTGCGCAAACAAGACATTAAAATTCTCTTCAATAGTGGTGGCTGATCAGATGGTCATGTTTGGTGCTAGAAGCTTCGCGCGCGCGCTTCACCACTTCATCCTCCTCGGCCAGCGACATGGAAATATATCTCCAAGCCGAATCCACTGACATTCTAACCCTCTCTCCCGCAGAGCAGCGCGCAGGGCTCGAGAGACTGAGAGAAGAGATTTCCATCGGGAAATCCGAGGTCGCCCTGCTTGAGAAACAGCAGCGAGAGGAGATTGCTTGGCTTGAGGCGAGGCATCGGGGGGAACGGGGAATCCTGGAGGCGAAACAACGAGATTTGGAAGCAAAGCAGCGCGAATAGGAAGCCGCCCTCAATCGTGTCGCATTCCCGGTGCTCACCATCCCTCCTGAGATCGTCTCGCGGATTTCATTTCATCTCTTCCTGCCAGTTCACATCCCGAGCCCTCACCCACGACCGCGCCCCTCCTCGTTTCCCAGATATGCCGACATTGGCGGCACATTGCACTGGAAACGAGCGAGCTTTGGGCATCCGTGTATATATATCAGCCGAAACGCGCCAGAATGCTTCAGAGTTTCTTGAGGCTTGTTTGTGCTGCGCCAATGTCTCTGCATCTTAATCCAGATCCAACACTCGTTCCCTCCCCGGTTTCGTTCTTTGCGACATATTCGGCCCAGCTGCGTAGTCTACCGACGTCCAAGATCTTCTCGGGTTGCGCCCCAGACTTCCCATACTCCGTGAACTCCACATATATATTGAGGAAGAACTTGAAGATGATGTTGTCATTTTCAAGGATCTCCCCGGGGCCCGCACTGCTTGAGCTCAGCGTCAGCAGTACCATTTCCACATCTAATCTCGGCACCTACCCGACCTTGACGAGGCTCGTGATTTTCGTAAATATTTCAGTCATGGACTTCCCTTGCCACATCTTCTGGAGCTTTCCGCAAAGTTTTCCCGCGACGACAACTCGCAACGCGATGTCGTCACCCACCGCACTCTTGAATCTTTTATATCTGCAACGAAACCCGTCCGGTCGGCATCCTGGATTCGCTGAGCCTGCCAAGTCTACGAAAGCTAATGATCCCACAATACCTAAATGTCGAAACCCTCATTCATTTCCTCGAACGCTCTTCGTGTCCTCTACGATACCTCGAAGTCACCACTGGCTTCGTTTTGGATGAATGGCAGCAATGCCTCTATCTTCCCTGTCTCGAGTCGTTGGTTTTTGACGGTCCATCCACATTCTTCGCAGCAGCAGCATCTCCACTAGTTGTTCCCCTCCTCCATGACCTCAAAGTCACAACTCTGGACGCCGACATCGACTGCAGCACTGTCGTCGAATTTTTAACTTCGCGGCGCGACACCTTTCACTCGCTTGAGATTAATCTCGAATGCGACTACCAGGCTACCATCAATTTCCATACCACCAATGTCCGGGTCGCAGGCATCGATGCACTTCTGAAGCACGGGGCTGAGATGTCTGTTGATGATAACTTTCAGCAGTGGATATACTTGGCGAAACCACTCGAGTGAAGGGTTTGTCATTTATTTCTTGGGAAACACGCTGCTAAGGAATACATGAACAGATATTATTTCAGGTGCAGTGCAACGTCGGCAAGCAAATAATTTCCGTGGATATACCTGGCAGAGCGCATTGAGCCAAGGGTTTGATATTCAGTTCTTAGGAGATACAGTAGAAAGCTTGTTGTCAGCGTAAATACAGCTTCAGTTCAGCCCCGTTGAAGCAAGCCTTTGATATTATAAAAAAGGATACATACCGTTCGTCAATGCACTTTTTTTTGTCTTATCGCAAATTGCGCGATACCCGCAAAATATTCTGGTTTCAGCGGAATATTGGGCAAAGAGTGGATAGATTTACAGTATATTAATACAATATTGTCACCCGACGTTGGAGATCCAAAGAAATCGGCGCACTATATATCTACTTGCATAGAACTGAAGTCAACGAAGGCGAAGCCGTGGTAAGCCTCTTTAAGTTCTTGGAGTTCGGTCTTCAGCCGTTTGTAGCAAAGCTTGAGCGTCTGGTATTGCTCCTGCAGCTTCTCGCAACGCTCTCTCCACTTCTAGAATAATTGTTAAGCTGGAATCATGTACATAAGACGGGCTACGTACAGCTTCGGAGGGGCCATTCGGCGGAAGCTGGGGAAAATATGAAACTAGCCCGCGGCGATGAAAATAAACAATTACAACGAACCGCGGGCTTCTTGTTCAGCGCGATGATGAGCTCCTGGTTTTTTTCTGTACGTGCTTCGTATTACTATGGAAAGGTTGACAGATATATAAATCAACTCGGGGTGGTAGACGGTCGCACTGACCCGTTGAAGATCCGCGTGAGCCTGGGGAAAATATAAAATTAGGCCAGTAGCGATGGCAATAATGGTTGCAATGGACCGCGGGCTTCTTGTTCAGCGCAACGGCGAGTTCCTGGTTCTTTCCCTGAGTTCTTCACATTGCTAGAACAAGGTTGGTATAGAAATAAAGCAAAGGAGTGATAGACGGTCGAACTGACGCGCTGAAGATCTGAGCGAGTGTTTTTCTGGTTTTGATATTTCTTCTTCAGCTTCGCCGGCGCCTATGGGGTAATATGAAACCGTTTCCGAATTTACTTCGTAGCTGTCAGGACGCACCTGGACAAATTTCTGCTCCTATATTGGTGTCGCAATATCGGTGAACGTTGACAATTGGCAGATATAATGGTCATACCGATTTCGTCACCTCCACCAAATTCTGGTTGAGTGTATCGATCTCGGCCTTCAACAATTCCACTTGCGCCGTGAGCTTGAACAATTTGTTTCTCTTCGCCTATAAGAACATAATTGGTCAACACTATACTAGGAGAGGAATATTTAACGACTCGCCGTTTGGGCAGGAGCTATGGCGATCGGCTTGCAGACATGGCGGGCGTTTTCAGCGACCTCAGCATGAACGAGTTCCGCTCCGAGTTGCGCGATATACATCTGATAAACCAGGGGACGCACGGTTAACTCGCGATTTTGGGCTTTGAGGGAGGCATTTTCAATAAAACGAGGCACGAGTTGATACCTTGTTGAAGCGTCTGTCTAGGAGAGACTAGGCATTTTCCTGTGGTGGCGCGTGCGTCGGTTCGGGCTGTCGGTGGGCAGGGAAAGGGAATGTGTCGCTCACTGCTTTCAAGGCCCTCACAGATACAAGGAGTTCAGAAATAACGAACTCGGGATCCATTGTAGAGTGAGGTGGGTCGAAGATGCTGAATGGAGTCGTTAAATAGCAGGAGAGTGACAGGGATTCTTGAATTTAGAAGATGAACGGTTTTTTATGTAATTAATTAGGGAGTGAATGAATACCTTAACCGACCGCTCGCCTGTTGCCCGTCTGCCATAAATTAGCACGTTTCTGAATATATCGATACCGTTCTCCCCGCCGCGACTAGACTTCCAGAAATTGATGCGGCCATTATTTTACGCTGGGACAAAATGGACTTAAGGGGCCTTGAAGAAGAACCGCCGTTCGAATCCGAATAACTATTGAACAAGTGCGTGGACACCACCCCGGATAGATGAATATGCACGGCCAGAAAATCGAAACATATTGAAGCACCATTATATTATATCTTCCCGGTCCATGTTTCCCGTTCTGCCAAGTGAGAGAAGTGGACCGGGAAAGAGGCCAAGTGCTGCGGTGGTATTCCAGTTGAAGTTCTAGGGGGATGCATGTAAAGGCGAGTCCGTGTAAAAGTGCACGAAATTCGAGCCGGGCCGAAAGTAGCCGGAAGAAAACAGGACCAAAGGTCTAGTCTCGATTTAGGGTATGGGTTCCGGTGTGTCTTTTTCATCACTTTTCTGCCCCAGATTTTAAACTCCGCCCATACCCGAACATCTGGAGCCGAGATTATTATATCCCTAGCGAAATGGGCGGGATCTTTAAGACTCATTTGCGCCACTATTTTTTTTATATCCTCTACTTGATATGGGATAAAATATTCGTTATATGCCAGTGACTCATTCCCTCTAATCCAGATTCCCGTGTCATCAGTTGGTGTAAAGGTAATTGAGCCTTTCTCACGCTCTCTGCTGGCAGCAAGCACTTGCCTCGAGTACTTTTGAGTAATTGGGATGAGACTTTTTATGGGCTC